TTACATTATTTTTTAGCTCTTTCCGCCCTGTGGGCACTAAGAGGGCCTCTTTTAACAAGCCCATTATGGGTTCGGCCAGGTCTGCAATGGGCAGTCCGGTGGTGAGGGATGGGGCCCGACATATCCAGATGGACCACCCCTTTCTGATTCGAACCCAGGACCCCAGAGCAGTAGATTGCCACCTTGATCACTTGGCTGGATGGCCAAGTGATCAGAGTGGCAATCTACCGCTTACTTATCTAGTGATCAAGGTGGCAATCTAATCTTATTTATATTACTGTTATCAGTAATATAAGTAAGACATGTACTGTGTGGTAAACAATGAACACCTCTCACCAGAATCTGAGTCTGAACTAATTTCAGTGGCATCTACAAGTCGTGATTCATTTTCATTTTCTGATAAGTGCTTGATTATCTCTACAATTCCATTCAAAATTGTATTTTTGTTAACATTATTGGATATTTCATGTGGCTTATATTTGTTCAATTTTCCTGGGTTATTATACTCCAAAAACAAGACCCATTTTGGAGGGAATCAAGTTATAAACAGACTAGAAAATTCCTTTTAATAACCTTAAATTACAAATTGCAACATATACTGTATAAAAGCAATAACTGAAGCCCAGATTAATGAATCATAATTCCAAATTAGCAGATTTGTGCTCAGTGTTTTCTTCAAAGAATTTTCTAAATTATTTAATTAAATTCAATACTAATTTCTAATCATTTATCAAAACAAAAAGTTATGATCTATCTTTTAGGCTAAATTACATTATTTTAATTAACTAAAATTAGTATAAATGTAGGTAAAAAAATCCAACAATTTAGGTTTACACTTGTAATATAGAAAAGGAAAAAATACATAAAATATTTTTTAGGGATTTAAAATTAGATAATGTTCTTTTGGATCAAGAAGGGCATATAAAGATTGCTGATTTTGGTATGTGTAAAGAAGGAATATCAAGTGATCAAACAACAAAAACCTTCTGTGGCACTCCTGATTACATAGCTCCCGAGGTATGTGAAATTCAAAATAACAAAAATTTAATATCAAACAATAATTTAATCGATAAATATCTATGAAGATAATTCTCTATCAACCATACGGAAAATCTGTTGATTGGTGGGCTTATGGTGTCCTTTTATATGAGATGCTTGTTGGACAGGTAAATATTTTTATTTATGTTCAATTTAAAGTAATGTAAATATCTAATTATATTTTTTGTTGAAAATTTCTTTTAAATTTTGAAAATAGAGATTGTAATAAATTTCAGCCACCATTTGATGGAGAAGATGAAGAAGAACTGTTTTCAGCCATAACTGATCACAATGTCTCATATCCAAAGTCTCTTTCCAAAGAAGCTAAAGAGGCTTGTAAAGGAGTAAGTTGATTGATGTTTGTTTTTTACTTTTATTTGCAATAGTACAGTACAAAATATAATAAAAATATGATATAGTAATGATTTAATATAATGATTGTGTAAGTGATATGCTTTGTTCTCTTGAACATTCTGTTTTACATATAAGGCACAAAAAACACAACTTATCATATGCAAAGTCTTGATCATTCTCTCTTGAAAAATTTCCCATACTCTCTCCCTCTCACTCTGGCACTCCCTTGGAAATACTGACCAAGTGGTCACAGATGTAATTCACATGTGTAAGTAAACAAACATGGACCATAAATTATGCAGTAAAATATTTATTAATCAAACGTTTTGGTCCTTTTCATTGACCTTCATTAGAAAATATATACATTATGTAATTTAACAAGAAAAAAAAAAGACATCTGTACTCTAAAAACAGTTTTACAACATTCCATTTTTTGGACTAAGACAAATTTTTAACATATTTTAACTATGTGTAAAATATAAAACATATTTTATACATAGTGAAATAAACCATGCATAAAAAACACTCTAAATTATACTTTCCATATTTTTACTTCAGTACCTGCTGAATTAATCACTACCATGCAATCTAACTACTGTCCATCCTTCAGCATCTTACAAAGCTCACCTTTAAGTTTGATGTATAGAGAAAATGCTACAGTTTCCCCAGCCTGGAAAGTATTGCTAAATAAAACTTACTAATAAAAATATATAAAACATATTGTACAATATTCCAAGCAATGTCCTTTTCTTGTAACAACAAGCCTCAAATTCCATTTAAATGTTTAAATGTTAAAATTTTATATTATATGTAGAGTAATTTTGTTCCAAATTCCAGATGTTCTTTAGTCTAATGGAAATGATTCTGTATAATTGAAAGTACTTGTATTATTAAAAGGATTTTAATGCTGTCTGACAGTGTGTTTACATTATTTGTTATGTTCTTTGTCTTTAAAATCATCAGAAGAAGCACAGATTTAATTTTTGTCTGAGTTTAATAAGCTTTAGCTGGGAAGCATGCATGTGGTAACATAACCTACCTGATGACCATGCATTGCTGATTGACTAAAGTTCAGAAATTTGGTGAATGCCAGTGCATAACAAAGCAAGATGAATTTGTTCAACTTTACCATTTGCTTGGGAACAGTATCTTGGTATTAACACATGCTTAAGTCCACAAATAGTACAAAAATCAGAGAATACATGTGAAGTGAAACCTATTTCTCTATTAGTAATGATATGGATGGGAATACCAAAATCATTCACAAACTGCTAAAGAAGTTCAATAACAAATCATATGATGGACAGACAGAGGTATACAAACTTCATAATGTTGTCTAGGAATAGTAATAGTTTCTTATTATGTTATGAATTAATACAAAATAGACCAAGGAAGTTCATACATACAGTTTTAAATAGTCAGTGACTAGGAGATATATTATTAAGTTCTCTTTGCATCCATCCAGCAAGAACTTTTGTAAAGTTGCAGCTAACATGCTGACTGACAGATATGATGTTGAATATAACCAGTCATTTTTGGAAACCAAAATTTAATTTGGATGAGCTATACAGCTTTATCCACACTAAAGTGACCTTGACATATCATGATAATGCACAGTGAGATATTTTTACATAGTCCATGGCATAATGAAAAGTTGATAAAGGAGACTTTACTACTTCAAAACTGTTGGTCAAAACATGATCTGACTTTGAATATTTCAATGATTTATTAACTGCTGTTAAAATCTGCTGCAAATTGGGACATTGTGACTAGATTAGTATTACATGGTATATAAAATATACTTTCAATTGCTGTATAAAATATACATGGTGCTGCAAGTTCTAAGGACTGCTATAATCTGATATAATGTTGTGAATAATTTTGTTGGCTATCCACTCACAATGATCTGTAAGGGCAAAACCATTGCACTATGGCCTTATATGTTGGGATAAAATCTCCCTTTCACCACAACTGTTAATAAATCTTTGATTTTTAAGCTCTTGCACAATGTCATAGAGAATTGCATGTTCATGACATAAGGAACTTCACTCACAGACTTACTTCCTGGTACCTCATTCGTTTTCATGATAGCAGTCTTAATATACCCTAATTTGGTAGGATCAAAGCAACATGTAGAGGAAACTCTTTAAGAAGCATGTTGAATGTTCATAACTTGGTCATTCATTTTAATTTGAGTAATAGTAATTACTTGGCATATCACCAAAGTGATCTCAATTTTAGATGTATGTTTACACATGTCAACTTCATGAGTCTCCAAAACTTCAGAAGTGTTGGATGATGGTGTCACCAATACAGAAAATTCTTTACAGTCATCTACTAGCACAACATAATTAAGAATTAGAACACCATTAGCTTTCATTTTCATTGCATTAAAGCTGATTACTGGTACAATAATGAGAACATTGCAAAATGGTTTATCATCTGTTTGAAGTAAAAAGGAGGCATTGATCATTAAAATTCTCATTAATGACTTCTATGATGATATGAGCGAATAACTAACTATTATAAACTTAAGAGAATAGGGAGATTCAGAACAAGGAAGAAGGTAGAAGATAGAAAAAAAAGGGGTACCCAAGATTATCGGCGGTGCTCTCGATGCATTAGATCAAAAGGATGAACCACTTTTTAATTAAGATGAATATTAGCTTAGTTCACCAAACCTCATATTAAGTCAAGTACACTGTCAAGTAAAATGGTACTCTTGTACTTTCACTATCAAGAATCTTTCTTTCTCCAATTCCTTTGTTTTCTCCACAAGGTGTCACCAATGTGCTGGAGAGCTTTGTTCACATGTCCCTTCTCATCTGATTTCACCAAATAATAATTCTCCTGAGCTATAGCTTGCCCTGAGGGTTGCATACCATCTCATCGTTCTTAAGGGACACCTGCTGTTAAACTGTTAAGAACGAGCTGAACTTCAGTTCAGTGTTTATCATTTCACAGCAACAGAGAGCAACTTGGGTGTTATTATAATTGTTGAAGGACTTTATCATCTTGATCTTGACCTTCAATAAGTTTTGTATATTCTTGTTAATGGACCATAACTAAAGTTGGAAGGGCAGTTTCAAGTAGGACATCTAGACCACTAAAAGCATCATTACAAACAACAAACATTTACATGATGTATATGAACTGAATCAATAATTAATTTGATTCATACAATATTGAAAGACTTAATAGCATCATCTAACCACAAAAATCACAAATTAGCATTGGTTTTACAGTTTTACTCAGGTGAGCTGCTAAGGCCACTTTCATAAAAATCAGTTGTGCCAGTATTTAAAAGTGCAGTAACATCTGGCTTAATTTACAGTGAAACATTTGGAAGATGTGTTTGATGTGATAGAGGCTGTCTTTAAACAATCTCTTGTGCCATGACCTTCTTTTTTACATTTAGTTCAATACTTTTCATGTTTAGAACTTAGACAATCTAAGGTTAATTAATACTTTGTGGTTGTGTTTAAAGGATGCAATGCAGAGTATTATCTTGTTTGGTTCTATTGTTTTGAGCAGGTGGTAGTCTTTCAGGCGTCATTTCTGTTATATTACCATTCATTTTACTTTTATCATGTGTCAATTAAGAAGTTTATGAGAAAAGGATCCAAAATGATTCTTAGCAAACTGTTCATGAACCGTGATATTCTTAAGCAGCTCATTTATTGAAAGGTGTTGTTTATCTAGCATAGTTTGACTCACTTGACCATTTCTTAGTCTGCTTAAAATTTCATATTTTGTTTCATTTACATTAAATCTCAATTGAACGCATAAGTGCTCCTTGCCTTGCATGTATGAATAGACAGTTTTATTTTTTCTTTGGATGTGTACTTCTGTTCATTGACACAAATCAGCCAGAATCTTGGTGGTCACATAACCATCATTAAATGCAGCTACCCATGTTTGGCACTGATTTCTGGTAGATTTTTGCCAATTTCTAATGCTGTTTTTCTTGAAGCTTCTTTAATTATTGTATTTCTTAAATCATGTAATTTGATAAGAGTGCTGTCAAGTTTAAGTTTAATGTTCTGTAGACTGACAATTGTTGTTGATTCATCCATTTAAACTAGCAATATGTTTGAAGTATTGCAACCATTTGGAAACTGCTGCAATATCTTCTGTTCCACAAAACTGATCTAAATTAGCTGAAGTATCTGCACATATCTGAATTATTGGGATGGAATGCCATTGCGTTTGCCCATTGCTACTGATAAATAAGATGTATCATTTGTGTTAATAAAGCTATTGATTATTTTGGGAAAGACAAGGTGACAATACAAAGTTGGGCACTTTATTTGCCATTTTGAAATAACTTTTTAAATTATTAACTATTTTGAAATAACATTTTGACACTTATAAATAATTCACAATATTATCTAGAACTGATAGAAACAAGGATACCAATCCTTATAATGGTGATTCATTCAGAGGCAGTCTCTTAATCAAACACATACATTCACACAGTTCAATATTAATACAAAATTTAGTTTTCATGCTAGAGTTAAAACATGCCAAATGGGTTACAAAGATTCTTTATCACACAAAACACAAAAATAAGCTCCATAAAATCTATTACAAGTTCTTAATTAACAACTTTTCCTTATATTTTAAACTTAAAACTAGAAATAAAATTGAAATGTTAGTGAATGATAGACAAGTTCCTTTTATTTCTCTTCTTATCAGGAACTAACATCACAGTCTACCTAATGTGTCATTGCAAAAATAAAAGATAAAGATATCTCTAAAATTATGTGGAGATCTTTTATCTTTGATATACTTATATCATTTAATATCAAAATGAATGGCTTTAAATGTTAGATTTAATCAAGTATATATCATTACCTGAATATTTATATATTTATGTATGTAATTGAAAAAATATAAATATGTAAATTATGACACATATTAAGAAAAAAATATAAATGAGATATTCTATATTATCTTAATTTTGCTTTTATTTAATTTTTTTTCACTTAAGATATGTAACTTGATTTCTAAATTGTTCTTGTTACTTAACAATGTTGGTGATGAGATATTGTATAAGAAGTCTGCTTTTATATTTTTGCTTAGTGACAGGTTGTTCAATGCTTCATTAACCTTAATGTTGACAGAATGACTAGTGTCTATATCAGTNTTACGGTTGATTCTCTGAAATCCAGATATCTCTTAGATACATCCAGAATTTAGAATTAAATTTGTAAGCATTCTGAATTTCACTTGTAGGCATCAACATCTAATTATTTTAATAATAGTAATGTTTAAATTAATAATTATTTTTACTGTTTTTATGAATTTTATACTTAATATAAGCAGTTTTATAATATAATTCTTAAAGGTGATTTTCCTATCATAATTATTTTATTACTAAACATTCATATAGAAATTGTTTATGGGCTTCCATTATATGTTATTTTTTTATATGCAGCGTAATTAATCGTAATCAAATATACTTTGGAATTTATAGATATCTGGAATTTCGAAAATTGACCCTACAAAAAGCAATTTATTTAAAAAAAATATAAATATAAGAAAACAAGATATATATACACAATTTTAAGTTTTAAGAAATGTTTTTTATTTTAGTATTTTTTTAATTATCATATTTTTTTTTTAAACCTATCAAATAATTCAAAGTTTATTAAATGATTAATATTTTATAATCAGAAAGTATATAATAAATGTTCGAATGTTAAGACATTCATAAAAGTATTTTTATCGTTGTAAAAAATTTACAAGATAATGTTAACCAATTTAAAATTGATAATCGACAAAAGCTAACCATATCTTATAAATATATATATACTTTTGACATATTTCTTTATGTGTGTGTGTGTGCGTGTGTGTATATATATATATATATATAAAACATACAATATATAAAAGATAAAAAATAAAGAAGAATGTCGATTATATTATAAGTTACTTAACACAAAATTTTAAAGTTTTTAAAATCAGATATGTTATATATATGGTTTATATATATATATATAAAATATTATCATTCCAGATAAGTTATATTAACTATTTAAACATTGTTAGTAATTGTAAATAGTGTATAAAATTATGCTTATTCAGTAAATTGTTGTAAAATCTCTGACAGTTTATTTGATCTTTTGTTATATGTTAACCAGATATTTGCCATATTTGCTTCCTTGTTAATGTTTGAAAAGTCCAATTTAAACAAGTTGTGTCTTTATTAAATGTGTATAAGAGCTATACGAATAAACTTATTTAATCAGTAAAATATATGGCTTTTTCCCCGTAATTACTATAAAAAAATATATATATATAAAATATTGTTTAATTGTAACTAAGATGATGGCATAATGATAAATGTTACATCCCAAAGAGTTGGATCAATTATTTTGTAATTGTACGAGAAATGATCCTGACTTTAGTAAGACTTAACATCAATTTATTTATAGAATATTATATTTTTTAATTCTTCTTTTAATTCAGTCTTCTGCTCAATAAAAATGCATGTTTACATTTACTGATATATTTACCTTCAATGTAGAATTTTAAAAAGGATTTATGCTATAAATAATGTAGTGAAATTCTAAATGATGTTCAAATTATTCTGTGATAAATTCTATAATTACTAAATGAATTAGAAGACTGTTCCTACATTGAATAAATTGTTTTAATAAAATAATTTTAACTTTAAGAAAACAAATCATATAATAATTCAATTTAGATAAGATGAGACAAGACGGTAGTTTCATATGCGTATCAATTAAGTTGTAAATTTTGTTTAATAACTTCATAATAAAGTTACGTTAAATGCAAAATTAAGCAGTTACTAAATCTTCTTCTTCCTACAAATTTTCTAATGTTAAATGAATGAAAAATTGATGAAGAATATTGATGACAAGGTTAACAAGTTTTCCTACTGAATACACATTATCATAGATAATGAAGCTTATAAATTTGCAATAATCATAAATTCAAAGTCAAAGCAGTATTGTTTTGTAATATCCAATACTGTACTACTAATCTATATTAATTAATTGTGTACATTTATATAACATTAAGTTCAATGTCATACACTTGTTATCTTTATTATGAATATAAACATACATTTAGAAATAAAGGAAACAAAAAAAAAAACATTTTTAATTAATGGAAAAACACTTTAAATTTTCTTTAACCTNTTTCATTGTTTACTCTCTTAATAGTGCTCTATAATAAGTTTCTTTTTTTAAAAAAAAAAAAAGTAAAAAACATTAAAGTTTAGGCCCTGTTCTGTTCTTCGTCTGTGACCTTGTCTCAGAGACCTACAATGCGTGCATTACACAAACCTCTAGAAGAGCCCTGTTAAATCACGTTTATGCTTTTCTTAATGATTCAACGTACTGTGTAGTTCTACAGCTCGTTGCCGTGGGTTTAGACGTGACGTCAAGTGAGATTTGTTTATATATGTGTGTGTTTTATCGCCTCCTTGGATTTACTCATCGCACTCGGGAGGGGGGGTAGCGCCCACTTTGGGAACCACTGACTCGAGTGATGACCGCCGGATTGAATGCCATCGTACAAATTTAGACCTGGCATTCGACAAGTTTGCTCTTGCTTACAGCTTTAATTTTTGAAACATTTTGTAATGACTTTTTAACTAATTTGTCAGGAGAAACTAGAAATTATTATCTACGTTGTTGATTTAATTCTCGGATTTGATTTTGAGTTCTTCCAGGAATCGACTTATTTAGGTCAAATATTAATTTGTGGAATTCGAAATATTTAACTTGTTTTTTTTTTGTAATTTAATTACGTGTAGAATTTTTTTTAACAGAATTTCTATAATTTAACAATATAAGACTAATACTAGACTATAAAGAATACAATTATTTCTTTTCGTATTACAGTCGACCCCTCTATAACACTGTTGATTATTCCGTTTTATATGAATTCCATGTTGTACGAGTCACTTAGATTTTACAAATACGTGTGCCGGGCTCTGAACTGCTCACGTATTTGTAAAATCTAAATGACTCGTACAACATGGAATTCATATAAAACAGAATAATCAACAGTGTTATAGGGGGGTCGACTTTGTATATGTAAGTTGGGTAAAATCTTATTAAATCTTGTATTATTATTATATTTTATTATAAAATTAATATATAAAATAAATATATAATAATAATTTTTATTTTTT